ATAAGATTTTTAATAAATTTTGATAGAAGTTGATAAAATGAGTGATTGAAAAGTTGTGTGACCTATAAAATATGTGGTTAAAATTAATTGTTGACTTTAATTTAGATTAAAATCTAAATTTTAATTAGTACCAAATATGGGCTTAATGTTTGGAGGTCATTTTGTAATTAGAAAGGGTCTTGACTCGTATCGAGGATCTAATTCTCATTCTCCTATAGAGGTTCTCAACTACAATTTGGAAAATAAAAAAAACTATATCAAAACATTTGATATGCACACTATGAACAGAAAAAAAACATTTGAGAAGAGCGCAAATAGTCATGTTATGTGTACATTGGTTACACATATGGGATAAAATAATGTGAGTGGAGTGGGGTCCGCGCTAATCAATCTATGTACATATAGATTAATCCTGATTCATAATTGTCAAAACTATATCGACCATGGCATTTCGATCTACCAAAGGAAAATGCCTAAAATTGAGACATCAAATTCAATACACAATGGGTTTTCACTTCCGCTGTTGATTACTATGTCACACCTAAGTTAACCATCAACACCACATATACCCAACCTCATTGCTAATACGAAACTCAAGCCAAGCCTCCGCTCATTGCCGTGCGGATTATCTGAAATAAAGCTGGCAAAAGAGAGAGATGAATAAAAATAAGTAAGCAATCGGATTAGGAAATGAGGGCAGAACTTGTAGGCATAAAATAAAAATACAGTATTATAGTTGCTACTCAATGACATAAATATTAGCAGTTGGGTAAACTTAGTGCCCATTTGACAAGACTTTTGAAAAGTTAAAAGCTATTTTTCAACTTGTTTGGACAGCTTTTTGCCTGACGAGAGAAAGCTAGCTTAAGGTAGCTTCCTTGTGAAGCTCTTCTACAAGAAGCAAAAGTCCCGTCAAACGAGTCCTTAGTATCATGTGAGGCAAGCATAAAAACCTGTAAAAATGGCATAAAGGACTAGTTAAGTGGATTACCTATCAACTTCAACAAACTGAGTTCCAAGTTTAAACCACGTTTATAATCTGTTTATAATCGATCAAATTACTTAGGGTCGAGCTGACCTCACAATTTCGAACTCGCGTTATCTTGCCCTTACTAAAATATGATGGTCCGAGCTGGACGACCTCC